AGGGCTGTTTTAAACCCCTCAGGCAGGACCGAGGTAGCCACCCCGCTACACAGTGCCTTTGCAAACACTGCTCATTGCTCTCCCTCCCGGTGGCTGCTCAAAGAAGTGCTGCCTTGAGACTCTGCTCATCTGCTCCTTGCCCTGCAGCACCAACTCCTAGTGCCTCCCTAGGGCTCCTCCTCCTTCTTCTGTGGCTCCTCCTAAGACAGTGGACAGAGATGAGAGGAAGACTCAGCAACGCTAATACCCTCTGCTTCTTCTCCTGGCTTGGAAGAGGAGTTCTGGTACTTCCTCACCTCTTGTAGCCATCGCTGCTCCTTCCAGATGAGGCCCCACAACCTTCTTTACATTTTGAGAAACCCAGAACTCCCCCAAGCCTTCACACTCCTGTCTGCCTACAGGCTAGTGGTTTGTCCTCCTCCCACTGTTTAGTAGAGATGAGAGCATGTGAGGGGAAACCTGGGACTTTTGCTCTCCATGAAGAAACGTCATTCATGGTACAGCACAGACCTTGGCAGCTGTGGATTTTAATAAGGCTAAATGTAAATGTATACATCTAGGAACACACAATGTAAGCCATACTTACAAGATGGGGGACTCTATCCAGGGAAGAAGTAACTCTGAAATAGACTGGGGGGTGGGAGGTGGATATTCAGCTGAACATGAGTTCCCAGTGTCACACTGTGGCTAAAAGGGCTAATGTATAAATGGGGGAATCGCAGTAGGAGTAGAGCGGTTATTTTACCTCTATAATTGGGACTGGTGCGACTGTTGCTGGAATAATGTGTGAAGGGACCTGTAGAATAATTCTGCTGCCCACAATTCAAGAAGGTTGTTAATAAGTTGGAAAGGGTTTAGAAAAAAGCTTCAAGAATGACTAAAGGATTACAAAACCTGCCTTATAGTGATAGATTCAAGCAACTCAAACTATTTAGCTTAAGAAAGAGAAGGTTAAGGAGTGTCTTGATCACAGTCTCTAAGTACCTATATGGGGAATAAATATTTAATAATGGGCTCTTCAATCTAGCAGAGGAAAGTATAATACAGCTAGAAGTTGAAGCTAGACAAATTCAGACTGGGAATAAGGCATACATTTTTAATAATGAGAGTAATTAATCATTGGAATAACTAATCAGGGGTTGTGGTGGATTCTCCATCACTGACAATTTTTAAATCAAGACTGGATGATTTTCTAAAATATCTGCTCTAGGAATTATTGTGGGGCAGTTATCTGGCCTGTGTCATACAGGAGGTCAGACTACATGATCACAATGGTCTCTTCTGGCCTTGGAATCTATAAATAGTAACTGAATTTAAGCTAAGCTGCTTTAGTTACAGCAAAGGGTTCAGAATTAAACTAAACAGACTCTAAAGAAAAGTCATGCTTTCGAGAGACGCAAGATGACAATCAACCCCGCTTCAGTTCATATGCTTTCCCTGAGGGCTTCTGCCTCTTGGAAAATCTTCACATCCCCAAATTCACTACAGACGTTCTGCCCAATATCACAGGTGATGGACACAGCTGGACAATGTGGGGCACAATCTCTTGGAATCACAGAAGTCAGTGATAGAAAAATCCTATTAGATCACATCCACTCCATCTCCCTTGCAATATCAGATTATTCCCTTCACCACATTTCTAGTGCTTGCTAAAGGTTCTGGGCCATGGGGTTGTACCACTTCCCAGGGGAGACCAACAAGAGGAAACGGCGGTTTAATACTTAATAAATATTTCCCACAGTGTATGTCCCATTGCCCAGGATGCTTCAGTTCAGTCCTTTTAAATGCTGCATTAAGATCTCTTTATTAAATGAGATGTTTGGAAAGTTCACAGATACTCAGCCTACTGACAATGAAGATGAAGTTAAAAATCTGAACCATAAACACAGATCTCATTAATTCTGAGCCTGCATTATTACCAGCAACTTATCCATTTGGCAGTGTTTTAAAGCATGAATAGCAATCCCTGTACAAAAATGTTAAGCTGGGACTCATAACACTAAACCTAAAAGGTTTGCTGTAGTATATGCTTAGCTGCGCAAAACAATTATATACATTTGCATAGTCTACAGAGCTAGCTAGCCAGAGTTTATAAAAAAAAAGGGAACTTTCAATTTCTCTTGTACTTTCATAAGTACAGGAGGGGAAAATTCCAATCAGTAGATTTCAACTAGGGCTGTGAAGTGATTAAAAAAATTAATCGTGATGAATCGTGCGATTAAAAAAATTAATCGTGATTAATCGCACTGTTAAACAATAATAGAATACCATTTATTTAAATATTTTGGATGTTTTCTACATTTTCAAATATATTTATTTCAATTACAACACAGAATACAAAGTGTACAGTGCTCACTTTATTTATTTTTTTTATTTCAAATGTTTGCACTGTAAAAAAACAAAATCGTATTTTTCAATTCACCTGCTACAAGTACTGTAGTGCAATCTCTTTATCATGAAAGTTGAACTTGCAAATATAGAATTATGTATATAAAACTGCACTCAAAAACAAAACAATGTAAAACTTTAGAGCCTACAAGTCCACTCAGTCGTACTTCTTGTTCAGCCAATCACTCAGACAAACAAGTTTGTTTACATTTGCAGGAGATAATGCTGCCTGCTTCTTGCTTACAATATCCCCTGAAAGCGAGAAAGGGCATTCTAATGGCATTGTTGTAGCTGGCATCACAAGATATTTAGTGCCAGATGTGCTAAAGATTCATATGTCCCTTCGTGCTTCAACCACCATTCCAGAGGAAATGCGTCCAGGCTGATGACGGGTTCTGCTTGATAACAATCCAAAGCAGTGTGGATCGAAACATGTTCATTTTCATTATCTGAGTCAGATGCCACCAGCAGAAGGTTGATTTTCTTTTTTGGTGGTTCGGGTTCTGTAGTTTCTGCATCAGAGTGTTGCTCTTTTAAGACTTCTGAAAGTGTGCTCCACACCTCGTCCCTCTCAGAATTTAGAAGGCACTTCAGATTCTGAAACCTTGGTTTGAGTGCTGTAGCTATTTTTAGAAATCTCACATTGGTACCTTCTTTGCGTTATGTCAAATCTGCAGTGAAAGTGTTCTTAAAATGAACAACATGTGCTGGGTCATCTGAGACTGCTGTAACATGAAATATATGGCAGAATGCGGGTAAAACAGAGCAGGAAACATAGAATTTTCCCCCCAAGGAGTGCAGTCACAAATTTAATTGATGCATTGTTTTTTTAACGAGCATCATCATCATGGAAGCATGTCCTCTGGAATGGTGGCCGAAGCATGAAGGGGCAGGCTAATGTTTAACACAGGGGTTCTCAAATTGGGGGTCGGGAGGTTATTATGTGGGGGGTCACAAGCTGTCAGCCTGCATCCCAAACCCCCGCTTTGCCTCCAGCATTTATAATGGTGTTAAATACATTAAAAAAGTGTTTTTAATTTATAAGGGGGGGTCGCACTCAGAGGCTTTCTATGTGAAAGGGGTCACCAGTACAAAAGTTGGAGAATCACTGGTTTACCATATCTGGCATGTAAGTACCATGCAACGCTGGCTACAAAAGAGCCATGCAAATGCCTGTTCTCACTTTCAGGTGACGTAAATAAGAAGCAGGCAGCAGTACTTCCCGTCAGTGTAAACAAATTTGTCTTAGTGATTGTCAGAATAAGTAGTAGGACTGAGTGGACTTGTAGGCTCTAAAGTTTTATACTGTTTTGTTTTTGAGTGCAGTTATGTAACGAAAAAAAAAATCTGCATTTGTAAGTTTCCCAATAAAGAGACTGCACTTCAGTACTTTATGAGGTGAATTGAAAAATACTATTTCTTTTATTTATCATTTTTATAGTGCATATATTTGTAATCAAAAATAATAATATAAAGTGAGTGCTGTGCACTTTGTATTCTGTGTTGTAATTGAAATCAATATTGAAAATGTAGACAAACATCCAGAAGTATTTAATAAATTTCAATTGGTATTCTATTGTTATAACTGCCATTAATCAGGATTAATTTTTTTGGGTTAATCGCATGAGTTAACTGCATCATCATCCTACTGATTCCTACTGAGTTCTACAGTGCAGCACCTCAATCTCGCCAATTCCCTTCAGTGAGCGTTTCCCAAACACTTTCATAGCGTGCATCTTATTTGAACATAAGTTTGCCTTGTGAACTACCTCCCATCCCCTTCATAATCCCAAAACATTCCTGTGGCAACTGCATACATATTAAAAGTTAAACCATTTAATGTGTTTTAACTTATTGAAATTTAGCAGCTGGAAATTCTTATTGAACAAGGACAATTTTTTTAGAAATCTTGTTCTTAAAATTATATAAAATTTGCTATTTACTAAACCTCAGTATTTCCTAGCTACTTGGGAAGCTGAGGCCAGCGCACCGCTTGAGCTCAGGAGTTCTGTAGTATTCAAAGTATTTCCTACTGCATGTAAAAACTTCATTAAAAAATAAAACATTCAGGATGCAAAATCAAACACTCAATTAGGAAATGCCTGAATTAAGGTTGCCAATGCAGCTATAATTTGGACCCCTCATGCAGCCTCAATGCCATCTCACTGTTTTCAACCCTCTGCCTCATTCTCTGTCCAACTTGTGTATTGAATGAGTCTGGATATTGCAGCACAAAAAAGAGTAAATGATCATATAATTAGGCTGTATCATCATAATGCATATGCATAAGGGGATGAATTAGCTTTTACAGGCTACATTAATTCTTTTAACTTTTGAGTATTTGGCTTTGCAAACATAGTTTTAAAATGTAATTTCCTAGGTATTTTTTTTTTTTAAAAGGAAACTGAAAAACACAGAAATTCTATCAAATGGAAACATCATGACCTTCATGGATCATCGGCAGGATTTGAACCTCCTAAGCTCCAGAGCACAGCACAAACCTCTACTGCTTGAACTAAAGGAGTAACAAGCTGCAGTAGCAGGCCGCTATCCTCTGTATGGACAAGCCATTAGAGAGAGAGAACGCAGTGACTCACACAATTATTTGCTAAACAGCAGAGGACTGTTGGGATTCAGTCAGAATTCCTAGCTTCTATTTCAGACTGGAAATAAGGCTTTAGCTCTGAAGGTAATTAACCATTGAAACAATTTATCATGGATTTACCATTACTGGCAATTTTTAAATTAAGATTGGTTAAGGGGCTCCAAAGAGGATGGAGCTAGGGTGTTCTCAGTGGTGGCAGATGACAGAACAAGAAGCAATGCTCTCAAGTTGCAGTGGGGGAGGTCTAGGTTGGATATTAGGAAACACTATTTCACTAGAAGGGTGTTTAAGCACTGGAATGGGTTACCTGGGGAGGTGGTGGAATCTCCATCCTTAGAAATTTTTAAGGCCCGACTTAACAAAGCCCTGGCTGGGATGATTTAGTTGGGGATTGGTCCTGCTTTGAGCAGGGGGTTGGACTAGATGTCCTCCTGAGGTCTCTTCCAACCCTAATCTTCTATGATTGGATATTTTTCTAAGAGATCTGCTCTAGTTCCAACACAAATTATTTCAGGGAAGTTCCGTGGCCTGTGTTATGCAAGAGATCAGACTAGATAATCATCGTGGTCTCTTCTGGCCTGGAAATCCACGAATCTATGAAACTTCTGGTTCTGAAGAGGAGTGTGGTCTAGGATTATAGACAGCACACCCAAGCACATTGATTTGGCACAATGAGCCTTTGGATGAGACTTGGATCTGTGATATTAGAGACAGGAGTCCATTCCCAGCTCTCCCAGAAGTGACTCTGCGCTACTTCTGTGTAAAATCTGTAAACTGGTGAGACTGATGCTCTCCCTGCTCCTAAGGTAAAGTAACTTGATAATAAGGACTGTTAAGTGCACAGAATTCACACTACCCATCAGTGGAAGGTTTCCCCCTGGCTCCTACACCAAGGGTGAAGGAGGGGCACATTGCTGCTGCTGCACCTTCATCCTCTCTGGAGCTCTAGCTCTGGGCCTGGGCCATGTAGGAGGCTGAGTGGGCCCTGGAAGTACCCTTGGTGCAGATCAAAGTCAGCAGAGCTGGAAATATGTTTAGTGCAGATGGAATCTTCAGAGATTTTTGCAGCAAGCCTCTAAAAAGCTTTATTGGGCCTATGCATATGACAATTTTCAGAAGCCTATAATTCTGCCAATGCTGGATGGATTTTCATTAAGTCAGCCAAAAGCACCTCCCTGGCCCTAGGACCATCTCCTCACCAAATTTCAAATTCCTGCTCCAAAGTACACAGATACTAAAACTTTTCAATTAAATGGCTGAAAATATTTTCTTAAAACAGGGAAAAAGGTTGTTTTGCATAATCTTGTTCTTTCAAATGGCTGAACCAATTTTGATGATTTTTTTTTTTTTTAGTTCACCCTGAAGCAGAGTGCAAGCATGGAAAAATTCAGCCTGAATACTTAAAATCTGGCAAAGTAAAAACCATCTGAAAACAGTGACTTATGCTGGAAAGAGTCAGGCAATCTTAACTATAGACGTTGCTGCCAGCTCAGCCTATAACACCAAGCATAGAGAAATAAAAGGAATCATTGCAGATATAAAGGTAACCACATGTATTAGGTTAAGTAAAAAAAAATTTACAGTCTCAACACTCTCCTTTGGGTCTCTTTCTTGAAAGTTTATTTATATTGATTTTACTATTCACAAAAGACAAGACTCAAGCAAGGTATAGAGTCGAGGAGGTATCTACAGCTTTCCTTCACAGCTCTTGTAACACCACTCAATCCTTATCTGCCAAATCCACTGCTACGCCAGTCCTGGCATCCCTTGAACAGCAGCTTACAACCATGCCAAACTGTATGGCAGTTCTGTGATTGTGGACGAATATCTAGCACAAACTTAAGGTGAGACCATTTTTGGTTGTAAACTTCAACGAGTTGAGATTTGAACCAATATCAAGCGGAGTGCCCCAGGGGTCGGTCCTGGGGCCAGTTTTGTTCAACATCTTTATTAATGATCTCGATGATGAGATTAATTGCACCCTCAGCAAGTTCACAGATGACACTACCCCCCAGTGGAGATACACTGGAGGGTAGGGATAGGGTCCAGAGTGACCTAGACAAATTGGAGAATTGGGCCAAAAGAAATCTGATGAGGTTCAACAAGGACAAGTGCAGAGTTCTGCACTAAGGACGAAAGAATCCCATGCACTGCTACAGGCTGGGGACCGACTGGCTAAGCAGCAGTTCTGCAGAAAAGGACCTAGGGATTACAGTGGACGAGAAGCTGGATATGAGTCAGCAGTGTGCCCTTGTTGCCAAGAAGGCTAACTGCATATTGGGCTGCATCAGTAGGAGCATTGCCAGCAGATCGAGAGACGTGATTATTCCCCTCTATTCGGCACTCGTGAGCCCACATCTGGAGTATTGCGTCCAGTTTGGAGCACCCCAATACAAAAAGGATGTGGACAAATTGGAGAGAATCCAGCGGAGGGCCACGAAAATGATTAGGGGCTGGGGCACATGACTTATGAGGAGAGGCTGAGGGAACTGGGCTTATTTAGTCTGCAGAAGAGAAGAGTGAGGGGGGATTTGATAGCAGCCTTCAACTACCTGAAGGGGGGTTCCAAAGAGGATGGAGCTAGGCTGTTTTCAGTGGTGGCAGATGACAGAATAAGAAGCAATGCTCTCAAGTTGCAGTGGGGGAGGTCTAGGTTGGATAGGAGGAAAAACTATTTCACTAGTAGGGTGGTGAAGCACTGGAATGGGTTACCTAGGGAGGTAGTGGAATCTCCATCCTTAGAGGTTTTTAAGGCCCAGCTTGACAAAGCCCTTGCTGGGATGATTTAGTTGGGGTTGGTCCCGCTTTGAGCAGGGGGTTGGACTAGATGACCTCCTGAGGTCTCTTCCAACCTTAATCTTCTATGATTCTATTAACCAGGGACTCCAGAAATAACTAGTATGTTAACCCTTTGCTCTACCAATCTGCAGCTTTCTTTAACATTTAAACTTTGATAAGTTTCACTACACACAAAAGCCTTGTGGAATGAGCCGTGTCTCAGGGAAGCTGGTCATGTTGCCAGCAGTTAATTTGTGTTGCTAATGATTCAACAGTACAAACCTACCTGGACAACTCGTGTTTTCTGCTGCTGGTTATTTGACATTCTTCTAGACCTTGTCCTTTCCACTTCATGCCTATGAACCCACCCTCGAAGTTCATGATTTAATCTGTAAAATGCAACATTAAATTAGGCATGTCTTTAAAAGAGGAGTCAAAATGTCTTGGGTTTTGAGCAGCATTTTAACAATCCACCTGAAAAGTATTGTGACTTAATGTTAGGGTTTTGTTCATCTTAACATTTTATATTGTGTTCCTTTTAACACTGGGGCATTAATGTTAGTCACATGTTCAAAGAGAATTCATAGCTAAGTATCTGCCATGTGTTAATATTGGACTGGATTTTTCCACCTACAGTGGTTCCTATATATAATTAAATAAACACGAATCCTGAAAACAATAGGGGTATATTGAGAATTTAAATCACAAGGCTACCAACTCAAGAATAAAATTCCATTAAATACTCAAAAAATTAATTTAACAGAGTAAAGGGGAAAAAAAGAAGAAAAGAAAAAATATGCAGTGATGAATTCATGTCTTTAGAAACCACACAATTCCAGTTCTTCCATCAAGGCAAAGAAAGTATTAGCTACTTCAATTATATCTTTGTTTACTTTATGATGTTGAAGTGAAAAAGTCATGACCTGTGTATCTCTGTCTTTAACTGGCCTCTAAATCCATTTTATAATAAATTTTCCAACTGCATAATTTGATTAATGAAAAAGCTTTGGACACTTCCACACAGGCAGATCTGTGGTGGACTGGATGGCTCAGAGAATTGTTACAATGTTTTATGATTGTTACTAGTCTATAGCAGTGAGTAGGCTAGGCTGCTGGTTCCAAGTGAGCAAAGGCTGATGGTGAGTGAAAGTCAATATCCCACCTGACAGCATCAGAATGGAGGGTCCCAGTGCCTCCAGGGGAATTCATAGAATCATAGAATATCAGGGTTGGAAGGGACCTCAGGAGGTCATCTAGTCCAACCCCCTGCTCAAAGCAGGACCAATTCCCAACTAAATCATCCCAGCCAGTGCTTTGTCAAGCCTGACCTTAAAAACCTCTAAGGAAGGAGATTCCACCACCTCCCTAGGTAACCCATTCCAGTGCTTCACCACCCTCCTAGTGAAAAAGTTTTTCCTAATATCCAACCTAATCTCCCCCACTGCAACTTGAGACCATTACTCCTTGTTCTGTCATCAGGTACCACTGAGAACAGTCTAGATCCATCCTCTTTGGAACCCCCTTTCAGGTAGTTGAAAGCCGCTATCAAACCCCCCGCTCATTCTTCTCTTCCGCAGACTAAACAATCCCAGTTCCCTCAGCCTCTCCTCATAAGTCATGTGCTCCAGCCCCCTAATCATTTTTGTTGCCCTCCGCTGGACTCTTTCCAATTTTTCCACATCCTTCTTGTAGTGTGGGGCCTAAAACTGGACACAGTACTCCAGATGAGGCCTCACCAATGTCGAATAGAGGGGAATGATCACGTCCCTACTTATACAGCCCCAAATGCCGTTAGCCTTCTTGGCAACAATGGCACACTGTTGACTCATATCCAGCTTCTCCTCCACTGTAACCCCTAGGTCCTTTTCTGCAGAACTGCTTCCTAGCCATTCGGTCCCTAGTCTGTAACAGTGCATGGGATTCTTCCGTCCTAAGTGCAGGACTCTGCACTTGTCCTTGTTGAACCTCATCAGGTTTCTTTTGGCCCAATCCTCTAATTTGTCTAGGTCCCTCTGTATCCTATCCCTACCCTCCAGCATATCTCCCACTCCTCCCAGTTTAGTGTCACCTGCAAACTTGCTGAGAGTGCAGTCCATGCCATCCTCCAGATCATTAATTAAGATATTGAACAAAACCGGCCCCAGGACTGACCCCTGGGGCACTCCACTTGAAACTGGCTGCCAACTAGACATGGAGCCATTGATCACTACCCGTTGAGCCTGACGATCTAGCCAGCTTTCTATCCACCTTATAGTCCATTCATCCAGCCCATACTTCTTTAACTTGCTGGCAAGAATACTGTGGGAGACTGTATCAAAAGCTTTGCTAAAGTCAAGGAATGACACATCCACTGCTTTCCCCTCATCCACAGAGTCAGTTATCTCCTCATAGAAGGCAATTAGGTTAGTCAGGCATGACTTGCCCTTGGTGAATCCATGCTGACTGTTCCTGATCACTTTCCTCTCCTCTAAGTGCTTCAGAATTGATTCCTTGAGGACCTGCTCCATGATTTTTCCAGGGACCGAGGTGAGGCTGACTGGCCTGTAGTTCCCCAGATCCTTCTTCTTCCCTTTTTCAAAGATGGGCACTACATTAGCCTTTTTCCAGTCATCCGGGACCTCTCCCGATCACCATGAGTTTTCAAAGATAATGGCCAATGGCTCTGCAATCACATCCGCCAACTCCTTTAGCACCCTCAGATGCAGCGCATCCGGCCCCATGGACTTGTGCTCGTCCAGTTTTTCTAAATAGTCCCGAACCACTTCTTTCTCCACAGAGGGCTGGTCACCTTCTCCCCATACTGTGCTGCCCAGTGCAGCAGTCTGGGAGCTGACCTTGTTCGTGAAGACAGAGGCAAAAAAATCATTGAGTACATTAGCTTTTTCCACATCCTCTGTTACTAGGTTGCCTCCCTCATTCAGTAAGGGGCCCACACTTTCCTTGACTTTCTTTTTGTTGCTAACATACCTGAAGAAACCCTTCGTGTTACTCTTAACATCTCTTGCTAGCTGCAACTCCAAGTGTGATTTGGCCTTCCTGATTTCACTCCTGCATGCCTGAGCAATATTTTTATACTCCTCCCTGGTCATTTGTCCAATCTTCCACTTCTTGTAAGCTTCTTTTTTGCGTTTAAGGTCAGCAAGGATTTCACTGTTAAGCCAAGTTGGTCGCCTGCCATATTTACTATTCTTTCTACACATTGGGATGTTTTTTTCCTGGAACCTCAATAAGGATTCTTTAAAATACAGCCAGCTCTCCTGGACTCCTTTCCCCTTCATGTTATTCTCCCAGGGGATCCTGCCCATCTGTTCCCTGAGGGAGTCAAAGTCTGCTTTTCTGAAGTCCAGGGTCCGTATTCTGCTGCTCTCCTTTCTTCCTTGTGTCAGGATCCTGAACTCGACCATCTCATTGGGAGTCTCTGATTATCTTAGGACAGGGGATAGGGAAGACAGGGAACTTTTCTTATATAACAGAGAAAAAAGTAAATAAGTCACCTAGAGTTCCCCATCCTGCAGAGAAATACACTGGACTTTCTGGGCAATTGGAAAAAATTGCTCCCTCTTCCAATTGCCACCCCTCTCTCTTTACTCTCCATGGCTCTTCTTGCTCCCCATGAATGCTTTCCTCACCTTTCCTACCCTAAACTCCACAGATAATCCCCCTCTCCCTCCCACACCAGGAACTGACCTCTTCGTATGCGTGAAGGCCAATAATCTCCAGTGCTCAGTAGCCCATTCCCAGCTCCCTGCTTGCTGCTCCACTTTCCTAGCAGCCAAAAAGGATGGCTCCACATCCTCTCCATGCAGCTACCTCTCAGCTGTTCTCAATTCAACAGAGGATGAAAGCTCAAGCCAGTGCTGCTATTAAGAGTGGGGTCTGCTGAATTGCCGGGAAGGAGAAGTAGCTGCTTTCTGTTGGAAACAGTCCCAGGATTCTAGTTCATTTGTGCTAAGCGCAGGACAAACCCCCAATGTTTCTTTTTGCCGGGAGGCAGGCAGAATAGATGCTCATGAGAGCCCCTTGACTTGGGGGGAAGGCATATGCTTGACAAGTAGGTGGTTCCGGCTGCTGATGCAGCACTGGGCCAGCATCCTAGGGAATCCTCTGATCCCATCAAGTGCAAGCCACCATCCTTACTGCATTGCTGCCTGCTCAAATGCATTATGGGACAATCCAGCATGTCTCATAGGTTAAAGGGAGGCAAGTCAGCTGAGCAAGTGGGAGCTAAGGCCTAGTCCATACACAAAAGATGCATGTGACATCTTGGGTCTTGAACCCAGGCCTGGGAGTCCCCAGAGAGCCACTGTGTTCTGGGCTGCACCCGATGGCTGCTGAAATCTGATGGGCTGGGGAGCTAGTAGGACTATGGCCTCAGCCAAGGCGCCATCCACGGGAGCCCTGATTGGAGGATCACCCAGCTCCACTGATTGGTCCATCCATACTATTTGAGCCAGAAGACGGCACAGGAAATTTATCCAAGCAACAAGGTGTTTTCCTATTGTGGCTGCATTGGACCCTGCTTGTGCCTGCCTCCCGCACCCAACCCTGTTCCTGATTCCTGCTATGCTCCTGCCTCGCCCCTGTTCCCACCATGCTCCTGCTCCGTGCCTCTCCTCAAGTTCCTCCCCTTACACCTCACCTCCAATCATTAGTGACCAGTCCTGGCTCCGACCCCGGCCTCTGACCCTGATTCAAACTTGACCCTTGGCTCTGGCATTTGGTATCTGACCTTGGTTCTGACCCTCAGCTTTGTTTCCTGGATCTAGTAACTGGCAGTTGATTCTGGTGCTGACCCCTTGGCTTGGTTCCCCTATCTGGACACCAGCACCGCCCACTAAACCTCACTCCTTCTCTGACTACTAGGTCAGACTGTCTACACCCTGGTACAAAACAGCGCACTGGTTTAACTAAAGGTGAAAAGTTAAACTGAGTTAATTAAACCAGTGCAACATTGTGTGTGGCCACTTTAACATTGGTTTAAGCATGGCTTCTATTGGTTTAGCTTGCACTTATAAGTTAGAGGTGTCGGTAACCTGATATAGGTCAGGTTGGTGTAAATGGATGTTAGAGTGTCCACACCCAAAGTTACACCGGTCTAACACACTAAGATCCATTTAAAGCAACCCAGTTTATATTGGGTTTCCCACATCTGTAACTTACAGATGCCAGCTAAACCAGGATTCAAACACACCTGTAGAACAATGGGGAAGCTTGTGTTGCCACTGACCACAATGTATCTAGTATGGATATAAACAAAGAAATGCCAGGCACCTTGGCCACCAGTCTGGCACCTTTCATCTACACAGAATTCACACAACAATTACAAACTAAAAAACACGCACTTGGAAATCAATGTTTGCTAACCTGAGAGACTCAGTCCGGTTGATCAGTGGCTGACAGGGTGGTGGAGAAATATACAATAGTGGGTCTTCTGTTACTACCATTAAGGCTTTGTTATCAGAAACAGAACGTTCATACCTAGAAATAAAGACACCAAAAAATCTCTTCAAATTTCTTTCAAAGTTCCTTCAGCCTCCCCCAATGAACATGTATCACCAAAGGCTAATGAGAGAGCCAATAAACAGATTACTATTGCTCCAACAGATTCTTCTTCTAGAAGAGATGACAATTTGTGCCTAGTAACCCAGTATTTTGCTCTCTTTTCCCTCAGGATCTTTGTAGAACCCAATGCAGGGAAACACATCAGCAGTATGGGAGCCAAAAACAAAATTTGCCTCTTAAGCCAAAAATCATAGTGCTCACACAAACAAGCCAAAGAAGTTAGCAGTTTAATTGTAAATCTTATTTAGACTGTTAGCTCCATGGGGCAGTGACTGTTGTTTTTGTTCTGTGCCCAGCATAATGGGGTCCTGGTCCATGACTAGGGTTCCTAGGTGTTAAGTTGATACAAATAAAATGACAATCATCCAGATTAAATTTGCAGATGTCACTAATCACTTGTAATAAGTTCATCTCTACATCAACCATTCAAAACAAGTCTTCTGCCCACAGCAATTGCTTTGCTCCTACAGCACTGTGCTTGTATGTGGACTGGTGAACCTGGGTGAACCTTGACTCCAGTGTACAGGCTCCAGGAGGTGATGCTCTGCATGGCTGGGGGAGAAAGAGCCCTAGCCATGAAGAAGTGGACATATTGAAGCAGGGGTTACCTAAATCTGCACCACAGGCCATTCTGGCCAGTTGGCAGGAGCTCAAAGACATCATCTCATTTGCATGCATATTGTAACCATACTTCTAATTGATTTCAAGTTTTATAATGTGACACAAATGTAAGGGGCACGGACCAAACAGCAGCCCTATAGATTTCCTACCCAAAGAGGCAGCCTTCTCTGGCCAATGTGCAGAGAAGTCTCTGGTCAAGTGGCCTGCTCTTTGCTCTAGTGAGATAGGGGAGCTAAGGTGGGCGGTAGGGGGCAAGCAAAAGAGCAAGACAACACTGCCAGCTGCATGCAGGAAGGGGATCAAGAATTGAGGGCAGCTGGAGAGGCCACAGAGCTAGCAGGGATGAAAAGTGGCAGAATGGGCAGCAAACCCTGCTACACAGTAGCTGCTAGTAGATCAACAGCTCTTCCAAATGGGAGAAACATGGGAAGAGAGGAGCCTGAGGCAGAGGCTCACAGGGGCAGCAGGGCCTTGGAGAAAGACAGAAGAGAAACCCCAATCTCAACCCCAGCTGGGATCTCAGCCATAAGAGTGAGGAGAGAAGGGAACTAGCCCTCCCTTTCCCAGAGTCCCTAAAGAACCACAGGGGCTCTCCTTGCTCCAGCTTTGAGAGGGGGAGGCATATGAAAAGCCAGGCCATCTCTTTCATATGTGGAGTAGCAGAGGAAAAGTTTGTCTGTGAAGGAGATTTTGCCTGAGATGCTGCTGGTAGTCTGGGAAATCCTGGGGCCTGCCCAGAGGAGAATTGGGAAGGAGGCCTAGAAGCAAGGCAGAAGTCTTGGCTTGGCTCTTAAACTCAGGCAGTTAGCTCCAGGTCCCTAGCCTCAGTTCTTTATGATAATCCTTGGGTAAAAAATGTGAAAGCACTTAAATGACTTAGGAGCTGAAGTCCTACTGACTTTCAGTGAGACTCAGGCACTTAAATGCCCAGGTTCCTTTTGAAAATGTTACTCATTTTTTCCCCTTTATCCTTCTTTCCACCTTCCCGCCTTGTCCCTCTTCTGGTCTCTGCTTCTAGCACAGAGAAAAGAAAAAGAAGCAGAGGGTTCCACGCTTGCCAAGCAACAAGGTGAAAGAGACTGGAAAAAAAGAGGAGGTGTTGGCTCTGACATACCTTCCTGAGTGAGCATCTCTGCTGCCTCATCACATAATTCATAGTCTAAAATGTGCCACATAGAACATAGGCCCTTTATCATAGCCACATAATACTAAGTCATTAGAGTATTCCTGATTGATTCCCGTCTTTCCACATGGCAAAAATCTATTAGTGCTTTCTGCACATTTGCGGCTGTCTCTATTCAGCTAGCCAAAAATATCTGGAAAGGACAGATCTGTTAGGACAGACTCTGTGAAGGGGAAAACACAGTCTGAATAAGCCAACCTTCAATCTGGACACAATCCAGAACATACGCATCCACTGCCTGCGGGAGATCTAGAAAGGCTTAAAGTGACTTTATGTCAATTGAATACACCCCTGTAAATGACCAATAAAGATATTAATGGATAAAATAAAAATTATTCTTTGGGACTACTTGGTAGGCAGCCGCTAGAGCAGACTGTAACCATACATTCGTGAGGTGCATCTCTGTAGATATCCAGGAATAATGGTTTGCACAAGCATGCATGAGGTTTCTAACAAAGAGCACTGCTCACAGAGTTTAGGATCCAGTCCTTTCCTCTGTAAGTATCTTGAACTTTGCTGAACAGATTTTGAGTGACTAAGAAAACAAATATCATAGCTTGAATTTTAAGAAGGGCTGGGTAACATGACAAATATTAACATTCATAACCATGCAAGTCAAGACAACTCTACTGCATTTTTCAAGGAGGAAGAAAAGTCTCCTTCCCATCCCATGGGAAGGGACCTTGAAAGGTCATTGAGTCCAGCCCCCTGCCTTCAGTAGCAGGATCAAGTACTGATTTTGCCGAGATCCCTAAGTGGTCCCCTCAAGGATTGAACTCACAACCCTGTGTTTAGCAGGCCAATGCTCAAACCACTGAGCTCTCCCTCTCCCTCATGAAGTACTGGTTATTTCGGTCAGAAGTGGCACCAATCACTAATAACTCTCTTTCTCAAGACAGGAAGGGCCTGGGTCGGATTCCCAAGCCTTAAGTCAAGACTCCTTTAGGGTGCATAGAGAGTATGGCCAACCTCAAGTGTTCAAAAATTGTGAATCAGGCCCCCAAATCATGAGACTGTCTTAAACATTAGTTTTAATAATAAATGTTGGGTTTTTTGCTTTCCTGCTGGTTTCTGAGCCTGTAGGGTACACCTGCTTCATGTTTTCACGCTTTTCTCTGCAACCATGAGAGCTAGAAACTAACTTTTTTTTTCCAAATGAAAGTTGTGATTCTCTTTTGGTGTCTTGACTCTACCAGCTGGGTCTTCAAGAAAAACACCATTTCAAGACCTGTGGTAAAATCCCAAGAGTTGGCAACAATGTGTAGAGTACATTTTTCCCTCAATGCTTTCTAGGGAGGAGGGATAACTCAGTGGTTTGAGCATTGGCCTGCTAAACCCAGGGTTGGGAGTTCAATCCTTGAGGGGGCCATTTAGGGATCTGGGGCAAAAATCTGTCTGGGGATTGGTCCTGTTTTGAGCAGGGGGTTGGACTAGATGACCTCCTGAGGTCCCTTCCAACTCTGATATTCTATGATTCTGACACTGTGAAGGATCCTTCAGCACAGCTATAGAGGATGTGGTAGTATCTCAACATTAAGTTCCCTGAGCCAAATCAAGTGCTTGATCTTTCTAAGCCCTTATAAAGGAATTGCAGAGAGCTGTGCAGCTATTGCCTGTTGTGACATTATTGACAAACTGTGGACTATATAGATCATTGTTGCAACCACTGTTACATATATGCAGCAAAGGTTGTCATGTGAGGTGTCTATAAAAAGGTTATTTGCTGGTTATGATTATGCTATCTATGTGTATCTTTTTTTAGTTGAAAGTATGAATATTGGCTATGTACTTGTATCTCAATGTGTTTGATTCTAAGTAGCATTAGTGAAGCCTTTGGTCAGCTTCTTGAGAAAGGAAGTTGCAGATTAAGTGCCCAATCAAGAAACACTTAACTGACAATGGACCTTGGGAGACTCCAATCCACATATGAGAAGTCTTCCTGGGACGTTCAAGGTAGCATGTGAGCAGTGGCTGCTGCCTGCAAACTGAGTCATACATGGACATGTGACTTGCCCAGGTAGCTACAAACTCCATCTTGTTGCTGTGATTTTGTACAGGAGAACAAAGGGGTTTCCACCCACAGGAGGAAGAATATAAAAGGCCCTGGAAACTCCTCCATTTTGTCTTCAATCCTGTTTCTTACCTCTGGAGAAACTTTGCTACAAACTGAAGCTCTGAATAAAGGACTGAATGACCCATGCCAGCTGTGGATGTACTCCAGAGATTTGATTTGAACCTGCAGTTTATTCCATCACTGCTACAAGCCTGAACCAAGAACTTTGCCATTACTGTATGTAATTGATTCCATTTAACCAATTTTAACCCTCATCTATATTCCTTTCTTTTTATGAATAAACCTTTAGATTTTAGATTCTAAAGGATTGGCAACAGTGTGATTTGTGGGTAAGATCTGATTTGTATATTGACCTAAGTCTGGGGCTTGGTCCTTTGGGTTCGGGAGAACCTTTTTTCTTTTACTGGGGTATTGGTTTTCATCCCCATAAGTGGCTGCTGGTGGTGATACTGGGAAAGTGGAGTGTCTAAGGAAATTGCTTGTATGACTTCTGGATAGCCAGTGGGGTAAAACCAAAGTCTTCTCTGTTTGGCGTGCCTTGGTGTGCAAAGGAACTGCTGCCTTGGGCTGTAACTACCCTGCTCTAAGCAATTTGTCCTGAATTGATACTCTCAGTTGTGTCCCACCAGAGGCAGCATCGTTACACCTGTGCTGATTAAAGTCTATGATAGTAACATTTGGCCCTGTAGGAGGTGCACAACCGCACACAGTGCTGCCTAGAGATCAGGCAGGGATTGACAGATCAGCATCCTGCCCCAAGGGTTACCCATCGTCTCCTTCAGCCCAGGTAATTTGGGGGCTAGGCTCTTGGCCAGTCAAGGTCTACTCCAGTGCGACTCTCACCTGAGGTGAAGACCCCTGGTGTTGTAATGTCTTCTGGGGATGGAGAGGGGAGCTCGGCCCTACCCTCTACACTGGGCTATGCTCCAGGGCCCAGTGGTGGGCAGCTACATTTGACACCTTGGGGTGCTAAGATTCTGCCCCCCACCCCTGGGCCACCTCTCTATCCCCGTTAGCTTCATGAAGTGAGTCACTTTCACCAAGCCTCTTGCCTGCATGCTCAGCCACTTAACTCTCCTTTGTACGTTTCCATTAGTCTGTGTAGTAAGACCTCAAGCAAGGAGCTCCAGGGCAGTGCTTTCCCTTCACAGCAGCTGCCTGCACCTTTCCACTGCCTGCCCACTCTGAGCTGCTCTGCTCCCCTTCTTAAAGCCCTGCCTCCAGCTTGTGCAGGCCCTGCAAGTGCGACTGGGTGGGGCCACCTGGGCCCAGAGCTCCTCCTAAACCCCTTTCTCTGCAGTGTGTGGGTTGTACACCCCATCACAGCCCCACACATGGAAAGCTGGCAGCAACTTCTTGCCTACTATGCTGGAAGAGACAGGGAGCTGCTCTTTGAGTTGTATGCAAGTCCAGTGTCAGGGACTGTCACAGGACTTGCTCAGCACCAGAATGAGGCCAGGTATGGAACTGCACATCAAAAGCATGACACCATACTGGCTTGATCCTGCTTTGCTGAGGCAAGAGTACTCACACAGCTTGCTCTCTCACTATGGAATGCATGCACTGATTTGTCTGATTCAGGGGTTGGTTAGTTTTTATATCTCAGCACATCAAGGTTGGGCCTTAAAGAGGAATCTTGCCAGGAAGATCCTGTAAGTACAATACAAGAGGAATCAGCTTTCAAGGCACTCCATTTTTAGGCTTAGCTGCCCTAACAATGCTCACTTAATAACTCTACTTTATGATGCACAGGGAAATTGAAGGCAAGGGAGCAAAGCATGAAAGTATCATGAACAGCTAATACTTTTAAACTTTAAATATATTCACCTCACCTCTCCTTATTCTGGGAGATGATGTTAGGCATTTGTTGAGCTGTGTTGAGCTTCTGGCTGGCTGAGAACTCCAGCAGATTTCTGCTGCGGTGGGCAAGGCTCACGCTGGGTTCAGCTCCACTGGGATCCCTTTCAAATACACTGAAATTCAAAAATACATACCCATAACTATAGCAAGAGGGACAGAACAGATATACACGATATGGAACTCACTGCCTCATGGTATTAAATACTCTAACTGGATAACTAATGGCTTTTCATATTTGTTGTTCCACATGGTAAGATATGTATCACCAAATCCCATGCCCAGGGGCAGAAATTGTTCACTTATACATTTAATTGCAAAAGCTTCACAATAGCACTAACGGAAGAACGGAAGATGGCATCCTTCACGGGGCCCACTCTGTTAAGTAAGAATTCACAATGAATGCCATCAACTCAGTGAACGAACATCACTCAATCATAGAATCATAGAATATCAGGGTTGGAAGGGACCTCAAGAGGTCATCTAGTCCAACCCCCTGCTCAAAGCAGGACCAATTCCCAACTAAATCATCCCAGCCAGGGCTTTGTCAAGCCGGGCCTTAAAAACCTCCAAGGAAGGAGACTCCACCACCTCCCTAGGTAACGCATTCCAGTGCTTCACCACCCTCCTAGTGAAATAATGTTTCCTAATATCCAACCTGGACCTCCCCCACTGCAACTTGAGACCATTGCTCCTTGTTCTGTCATCTGCCACCACTGAGAACAGCTGAGCTCCATCCTCTTTGGAACCCCCCTTCAGGTAGTTGAAGGCTGCTATCAAATCCCCCCTCATTCTTCTCTTCTGGAGACTAAACAATCCCAGTTCCCTCAGCCTCTCCTCATAAGTCATGTGCTCCAGACCCCTAATCATTTTTGTTGCCCTCCGCTGGACTCTTTCCACATCCTTCTTGTAGTGTGGGGCCCAAAACTGGACACAGTATTCCAGATGAGGCCTCACCAATGTCGAATAAAGGGGAACGATCACGTCCCTCGATCTGCTGGCAATGCCCCTACTTATACAGCCCAAAATGCCGTTAGCC